ATTTCTTCTGGGTTCATGGGGACATGAACTGCTAGCGGAATGTGATGGATATGGCAATCCTCAAGTTGTTCTTGAGATGGCAGGATAACACTGCAGTTCCGAAAGACAATGGTGTATGCCATGCCTTGCTGTAGCTTGTCCCAGATTGGATCCTCTAGGTAAGTCTGTGTGGCAGTTTGTAGAAAGTCAATGGAGCACCCAAATACTTTGAGACAACTTCCGTGGATGGTACTGGGAGTGGGATCCGTGGATATTTCGCTTAAGCTACCATGTGTGTCAAATCCTATGCTGACGGGAACGTTAGCCAGACTGCTTACAGTCTTATGTTGGTACTGGGATCTTGGGAATCAGTGTTTGTAGCGTAGTGGCGCTAACGGGAACGTCAGCTGCCCTCCAACTCATTCGTCGGATTCTGTTTCACTCGCGTTGCAGACCGGAAGGTTTGCCGTGTCCATTTTGGCTGGCGCTCCTGGTGCATTGTCATTGTCGATATTAATTCACGGCATGTGGCACCATGTTCGGAGTGGTAATGCTCCCGGTGCGCTAGGTGGAAACCTAAGCCGTCCATTTTGCTTTTGCGCCCACCCGCATTGAGCGTGAAAAGAGTTGAGCCTTGACCCGCGTGGTACTCCGCATTCGATGCGTTCGTAGGTCAGTTGTATTGCACGTAGTTTGTCAGCCCGCTCTGAGGTCTACATGGGCTGATCATCTTCGGTGCCGCCCATGATCGGGCCGCGCCGCGCGGGGGTATTTTTCACCAGTACTGTTCATACATATGACCATACCGCATCTACTTGGCTCAAGGAAAAAGGTGTGCAATCAAGGCTGTTACCTGTTTGAAATAGTGCTGATGGACCGGTCAAAGAGAGCGAAGATCCTGATGGATGGATCAATGCAAATCATGATCCAATGGATTGTGAAGAGGAAGAAGAAGAGTATGAAGTGGAAGGAGATGTTCCCAATGTTGACAACAGTGATGAGAACAAAGAGAATGAAAATGACAGAGTTCAGGATGCTGAGTAAACTGGTTCCATGAAGCAATCAGCGCGAGTGGCGTGCAGAAAAGCCAAGGCACTGAAAGGGAACTAACAAATTTCACAAGACGGACTGAGTGGTGGAAATTCAATAAAGAGATACTGATTTCCAAGGCGGGGTGACAGAAATTAGCATGTCCCCTGCATGCAAGGATGACGCACATGTTTGAACAACTGTAGATATGTCCTTATCAATGTACAACTGACGCTTGCAGTGGCTCAAAACCAAGGCCGGGGAAAACCGCGTTTCCGTTGAATAGACACACATGTCTCAAAAAATTGTCTTGCAAAACTGTCATAGAAGAGTGTCACCCCAGAATGTTTTTCAAGAGTGCTTTTTGAAGCGTGTCAAAAAAGAGTGTCGAACATGATTTTTTTTGTGAACATGGGTATGTGCGGTGTGCTTCAAAACTCAATTTTTGATTCGGTTTTGATCGGGTTTGCATCGAAGCGTTCGTTTGGTCATAAAGTGTTTTGTCACAGTTGCCGAGACATGTTGATTTTGGTAGACATTTTTGACTGTGTTTACGAGGCACGATCATTGACAAAATATTAAAAACGGTTTTTGTTTCAGGTCTGTGAACAAGCTATGCCTGCGACCTCTACGCCACAAAAGCATACGGATGTGTTTCATGAACTCATCCTGGTTGAGTTCGCCATTGATCCCTGCATTCGGGTTTCTCCCTCTGCCGAAGCGCAGCCAACACCAAAACAAGTGCTCACGCCTAGGATCAAACATGTTTGTACATCGAAGTGATGGGTGTCATCCAACAAGGGCTGTGTGAAAATATCGCTGTATTGATCTACAGAACAATTGTTCAACCGAAGGGAGGTCCCAAGCACTCCAATCCCTGTGTGGGTGTTCCCTAAGGCCACACGATTCAAACAACAGAACCCAAACTCAAAACCATCACCACATCCAACACCGTCACCACACACTTGAACTCGACTCGACGTGGTTCACGGACCTGGACATGAATTGCCTCCGTCGTCCGTCCCGCTGGTCCAATGGAGTTTAACGTGCACACGTGCACCGTTTTCCGTCTTCACCGCGTATCGTGGTTCCCTTTGTTCGACGCGAGGAAACGAACACCCAAAAAAGACACCTCTCATGAAAAACATGTGCCATGCAAAAACACACTCCGAATCGCGCCAGGTCGAACGTGGGCTTCAGAATTTCGCCTTTCCAAGCAAACTGTGACAGGCTGTTCGAACACGGTGCATGGGGTTCTCGGGTGCTCGATCGCCCGGGCGATGTTGAGTGTTTCATCGGGGCTCGTGGTGTTTCAGCCTCCGAGCAGCCTCCGAGCAGCCCCTCCTTTTTTCGCCGGTGTTTTGCTTTGCAGGTTTATGCTGCTGCTCCCATGTCATTTGCTGCTGCTCCTGCTGCTGCTGATGCTGGACAATTTTTTTTGTGTTATTGGACATGTCCTTTTTCGGCAGGGTGTGACGTGTCGTTCACCGTTCACCCATTCCATCAAATTTATGTGATGAAACTCACAGAAGACATGCAATACTTTTGAGCAACTGTAGTGACCCTTTTGGCAGGTCAACAGTTGTTCCACCTAGATTGAACCTGAAGATACGTCACTGGATCTATGTAAGTCATGCACAAGCTTGTTGAACACATCCAAAGAGTATTTGTTCTAGCGGATTCTATCGCAGCTGTTCAGCGATTACTTCATGCAACATGTGATCGAAGGAACACGCGGTGTCTTTTTTGTTTTTGTTATTTTTTGACCAGTTGCAGCGCTTCGATCACCCATTGAGTCCCCCAGGTTTTCATCCATACATCCATGGATCCACGCCGTGCGTGCAGCGAAAAGCATGGAGAAAACAACGGCGTGTTGGAGAGGTGGCGCAGCTGGCGCAGGCTGCCGGAGGGTCGGTCCTGTTTGGATGCAAGCAAGACCTCACAAGTTGATGCTCAGCAATGCATTCATTGCATTGCAATAGAGCATGGTTCATGTACTTTTTCAATCGCAGCAAACACCATTTTGGCACCTGCCTCGAAAAGGGATTAAAACCCCCAAAAGCCAGAAGTTCCCCAGAGGGTTTCGGAGCCCCAAGAGTCGAACGAGTGGTTTTATAAAGTGATACTGTATAGATTTAGATATACTTCTTGCAGAGAATTGAGCATACATAGCTTAAGAGCTGAGCTGGTTGTGTCCCAAAGAATCGAGAGAGTCTCTTGAGACTTGTCACGAGACCCATTTTCGTCTCTTCAAGAGGAATGTAGACTCTTGACGAAACACCGCCAGTGTTCTCAGAGGTTGTTCAATTCAATTGGGGAGGTTTATGAATCAATCTACATTCCTAGGAGCAAGGGCATCACTACTAGTAACAAAGGGCATTCCTAACAGGAGCGATCGGACGCTACTAGCAGCTTATGGCCTTACTACTAGTAACAAGGGACGCTATGATCGGAGCATTCTTACTATGAGTAACAAGAAGCTGTAGAAGTCCCACTGACCCTTTCTTTTCGACGCTTCGCGTCTTCCAAAACCGTTGGATGCATGTGCACCTTGGTGTCCCTCGCGTCTTCCCAACTGGCCGACAGCCATTGGATTGCAAAAGGACCAACATGGCAATGATTCTTTTTTGGGGATGATTCTTTACCACTTTATCCATACTTTTTTAGTTGGCTTGAGAAAGACCTTGTTATTGGGGGATCTTTACCCATGAACGTTCTCTCCCATCCCAGACAGAGGAGCAAGATCCCATAGACACATGTTTGTTAGTTTCTTCTCATCCAATATCTTCTGTTTTTCTTGCCAACTGGTGCATTTCTTTTCACTCACAAAGATTTCTGAAGACGGTTCTTCGCTTTCCTGCGTGGAGGACTTGACCGTAGCTTGCATATTCCAAACCATAAAATGTAGACCTGTTCAAGGTATCAGTGTAGATGATTGATCCAGGATGGTATCACGTCCTTAGGATTCCAAACCAGAGTGGTATCAGGTAAATGCAGTACGATTGCCAGCATCTAGCTGGTTCACGTGGAGGACCGTGTGACAGGATGCTTGCATCAGTGAGACTGTGAGATAAGCTTTATAGGAAGATATTGTATATAGGCTATATATAGTAGTTGTAACTGTAGACTTCAAGAACCGTTGACAAGATTAAGAGGAGCAATGCTTCAGAAACGATTCTTGCAACGTCAGGAGCATTTCAGCAGCGCCTCCAAAAGCACGTATGAACTGGACCAGGACCAATGGCGGTCTTGGGCCAGTTGATGTGATATTGACATGAATCTGAGTGCATTGAAAAGGGCCACCTAAAAGCCGCAAGACTTTGACTGACTAGTTGCAAATACCTGAAACACACAATTTCTATCAATATGGGAGAGAATCCATTCCACTCAAAAAGCGGGGGAACCGACTCAATGCTGTTTTTTTCATGTCTTTTCCTTTACTTTTCTCTTTTCCCACATAGTAGTATTTCGGTGTCCCGCTTGAGGTGAAGGACAGGAACAAAACTCGAAGATCTTCACTGATGCCATGGTTTGACCAGGGTCAGTCTGGTGTTTAAAAGGGGACTCAATCAAGTTGTCGACTGGGCGTTTTTTCCAGTCCTAGCCTTGCAGCTGGAAGAGGAACATCATCTTCCATACCCACTTCTCGGCTGTGCTCCTGCCTCAGCTCGTGGAACTTCAGGCTACAAGTTTCTTTTGTGGAAAGTTGGCAGGTGGCCATTGGGCATCAATGCACAGGTTTGCAAGGTCTGCCCAACAACTGACCTTGTAATGCGGAAAGGATTCGCTTCACCAGTGTAGCGAATCACCCGCAAAATTGCACTCTTGAGCGGCCATTTCTCATAGAACCACTGTTTATGTGCAGTGTGCGGATTCTGAGTTTTTAGACTCTTGACTTGTGATACCCAGGTCCGCTTTGTGACTGCTGCGCATGAAGCTCCACATGAAAGGTGTGGTTTGATATGTATATATATATATATCACTGTATATGATTGCATTTTTTGCTGCTTTTGTTTTTCTGACTGGTGTGGGTTCTGGCAAGCTCTGTAAGTTGACGTCACCAGCATCCTTCTGTTGTTGGCTCCACAGCTTATCCCATAAATCACCAGAGAGCATTGCTTAGGCGTAGACAGTTTGGGGAGCTGCAATGGGGGCAGCAATCGGATCAGGACCAGGAAAGCCTGTTTTTACCAAATTCAATCGGGAAGACAACTACACCATCCTCCTGCTTGGGCAAACAGGCTCTGGAAAAACCTCCCTGATGAACCTCATTGCCAACTTCAAAACTGTGCTCAAGGTTCTCTTTGACGAGCAGGTCGTTCTGTCGACACCTGAGCTTGTTGAGTTCGGGCTGGCACACCTTCAGGACTTGGATGTGGAACATGCCATGGAAAATGGAATGGCAAGCAAGACTTCGCAACCGCGGGTGTACCAGCTTGAGCTGGCTACCAATTGGCACTTTACGATAATGGACACCCCTGGTTACAGAGGATGAGCTTCACGTCAAGAACATCATGGCATGCTTGGGAGAGAATGTTCGCACTATCAACAGTGTGATGGTCGTCGTTAATGGCAAAGATTCTTGAATGACCACGACCATGAAGTATGTCCTCTCACATTTGACAGCCATCATGCCCAAGAGTGTTGTGGATCATGTGGTGGCCGTTTTGACAAATGCTGAAGAGGAGGAAGACGTCAACTTTGACATCAGGAGCTTTCAAGAGGTTGGCATCAATATTCCCAGGTTTGAGTGGATAGACAATCCATTTTGTCTTGTACAGAAACTGCTGATCAGGGATCCAAGCCTACTCGAGCAAACACGAGAGAGGATGACAAAAAAGATCCGCAAGAGCTTCAAAGCAATGGAGAGTGTTGGCTGGTTAGCTGTTCCATCACAGAAGTTTCTCGAGCTCAATGCCAAACGTGAAGAAATTGAGTTTCACCTCGCAAACAACTTGGAGCTCCTCGTGGAGAATGAACGTCTCGTGGGTGACTTGCTGCACCATGCCCAGCAAATAAGAGACGGTGGCCGTGCTGAACCACTAACAAGACAAGCTCAACACTGGCGGCTGAAAAAAGAAATGTTTGGCTGGTCAAAGTACGTTTGTCATCATCCAGGCTGCCACTGCAACTGTGCGACATCCAACGTCGTCAGCCCCTTTGCCTCATTGTGGTGCTTTTTCAACGAGGAGCAGCTTTGCGAAACTTGCAACCATCAGTACTCGGGCCACCGAGTGTCACGCGATGGGTGGCAATGCGGGTCGAGGTGGGGACGACTGTCGACCAGGCAGAGGAGCGCTTGAGACAAGCAGTGATGGAAGCAGAGCAGCGCAAGCGAGAATGTGCTCAACAGCTCCAAGAATCCCTGGAAGAGTATCAAAGGTTGGGCCTTCGGGATGCCTACATGCGATTGCTGAAAAGCCAGAAGGCAGTTGTGGAAGAGCGACTCCGGACTTCGCCAGATGATGCTGCGTTGAGTATGCACCTGAGCAGCGTGAATGCCTGTTTAAAAGAGGTGGAAGATGCAGCAGAGGCAACTTGCGCCCTTTGCTATGAAAATCTTTCGGACACAACACTCAACTGTGGTCATTCTCAATTCTGCCGCACTTGTGCATTCCGAGTGGGAACTTGCCCCGTGTGTCGAGGGATTGTTACCTCCCGACAGCCTACATCTGCACTGGCCAGTGCTTCCGGGTATGCCTCGGGCTAGGCCAAGTGGTCTGATGGCCGAGACGGTGTGAGGGCGTCATGCGGTGTACAGTTTCGGCCTTTGACGTGGCGCCCCCTGCTCGAAGGTTTCTTTTTTAACACATAAGCTGGAAGACCGTGATGTGGAAAAGAGCGCACACCACCCTTCAATCGTGGCTGACCGTGTTTAGAGCTTGGACCGCTCGAGCGGTGTGACACACGCACGAGACCAAACGGGTCTCCAGGAGTCTGCTCGCTCGACGGCGCGACGGACACGGTGCGGGGATGCCCAGACACGACGAGTGTGGAATTGGTTTGGAAGTGCTTTAATGAGGTCATAACGTTTTCTTTCAAGCCAGATGTGGGGTTGGAACCACGAAGTCAAGAAAAGAACCATTGTGGCTCGAGGGAGACTGGACCAGATTTCTGAGGGAGCTTTTGAAGAAGCAACGTTTCAGGACTTCTCTTCTGATACCTGCTCATGCTGTTTTGCCCGGTGCAGAAGTGCCACCTCCTGCCAGACCGCTGCATCGAGATGGTTTTCTATCAGGAGTGAGTGCGTGTTCCGTTGTGTGCACGAGTGCTTGTGTGCACGATCTGTTTGTTCCATACCAGGAGCGACGTTGAGAGATGTTTTTTGGAGTTCGTGACCTTAGTTTGTGAGGTCGCCATTCATGTTGTCTCCTTAGCCTGAATTGTAGTTTGAGCCTTTTCTCCTCGAACCCGCGTGCAGGAACTTGGGTGAGAAAGAAACTCTTGGTTTGTGATGTGCTACACTCAGGTGCATCGATGCATTTTTGTGCATTTTGATGCATTTTGCACCTTTTCCGGAAGATCGGAAGAACAGGGGCAACCACCGTGGATCCTAACATGAGCACTGGAAAGCTTATTCTCTGATCACATTGTTGCGGTTGTTGCATTTGTATACAATGGGCATGTATATATTGCCATTGCATTTTTGAGTTCCTTATTTTGAATGTGATTGTGGGGGGGTGCATCCAAGGTAGGCTCGAAACAATATTTGCCAACCTCTCGAGGGTTGCAGGACACAACCTTTCTATTTTAGTGACTGGCAAAATATGTTGATTGTCTTCCTTGCACGGCTCTACTAGGCTGCAGAAGCTGTCTGCGGAATTGTGGCAGCCTAGCTCAAGTTGAACATCAAGGCCGGTGCTGAGCATTGCAGAACGTACGGTGCTATATGAGAGAGATTGAGAGAGTAGTGACACCTCAACATGCGTAAGCGGCTATGAACCGCACAATTCATGGACACTTCCATTCCTGTGGACCGTAGATAGCAACTTTGGCTCAAAGTTCTCAAAGATCTCCTGGATCAAGATCGTTTCATCGCTTCCTGCAAATCCTACCATGAGGTTCTCATCTCTTGTGCTTGTCCTGGCACTCACGTGCATGCAAGCCCAGAGCCAGGATCCAGTGAAGCAACTTCGTGGAGCAAAGGAACCCGACCTGCCGGCTGACTCTAAGGGGTCGACAGCTGTGGAAAGCCCAGCCAATGATCCAGCAGAGAAGCCAGCGAACCCAGACGACACCGGAGTTGCAAAGGAGGTTGAGACCGAAACCCCGGAGAGTCAGGCTCCAGAGCAGGGCGAGACAGCAGATCCTGCTGATGTTGGAGTTCCAACAAAGGAGATTCCAGCAAAGCCAAGTGGGAAGGATCATGCCGATCCGCATGGCACTCGTGTTCCAGCAAAGGAAGATGCGGAGGAGCCACTGGATGGTGAATGGGACGTTGATGGCATGAGGGAAGGCCCAGAGCCAATGGAATGGGAGTGGGTTCCTTATGGCTACGTCATGGAAGGCCCTCCTGAGTCCTGGGAAGGTGAGGAGGGTGATTGGGATGATGATGAGACGGAGCCACAGGAGATGGCCACATCAGGTCCAGATGCGAGATCCTTTGTTGCCTGGGGCGGCCGTCGCTGGGGCCACCGCGGCTGGGGCGGCCGTCGCTGGGGCCGTGGTTGGGGCCGTGGCTGGGGCGGCCGTGGCTGGGGCCGTGGCTGGGGCGGCCGTCGCTGGGGTCGTGGCTTGGGCCACCGTGGCTGGCGATGATTTGCTGATGAGTGGCGAGTGACAGTTGCGAACACAGCCAGAAGAGCCATTAGGTGTTGCTGATGCAACTTTTGATGCACCTCAGTGCGAATTTGATACTTTTGGTTTCCCTGGCAGGCAGCGCGAGTGCTTTCACAGCTCAAGCCTTGCACGTGCCTGCGTTTATTGGCATGTCGATGTAAAGAAGGTCCCGAAGACTCTCCCTCAGTGACATGTACAGCTCAGAGAAAAGACATCGCGTAATTACATGCACTGGTTGTTTTTTTCTTTTGTACCATTTTGCCAAGGATCAAGGAGAGATGCCCTATGTGGCAACCTTTCAGTAGGTTATTCTCCCCAGTTTGGAACGTAGTTTAGCTAGTTTGGGCCTTCCTCCCCGAATGCGTGGAGGAGCTTGGGTGAAGAGCCTTTGGTTTGGGTGCGCTACTCAGATGCAATGCATTCAGCAAGGTTAGAACGTTGAGATTGGAGATAGTCGGTGCTCAATCTTGTCGATCTATTCATTGTCATTGACTCCGGACTACAGTAGATCAAGTGCGGAATGTGTTAAGCACGTCTGGCCCGTCCTGGCCGTTTTAGAAGCTGTTGGAAACACGCCGGGAATTCTGTTCACGCTGTTGAGGTCCATCTACTGCAAGGTTCTGTCACCGGTGGTTTACAATAGACCAACACAGGTGTATCAAATCAGGATGGCTTAATTGTGGCTAGCATGTGCGAACCTCATAACCATCATGATCTAGAATTGAGGGTCAACCCCCAAGCATTGCAAAGGTTGGTTTACAGTGCTCACTCTCGTTCGTGATCCTATCCGGCTTGCCTGAGGCCAGACGCTGGTGCTGATTGGCGTGTGCATCAACAAAAGTTAATTAACGTATATATATATATATAAGCAATTCACAAATCAAAGACAAATTAACTACCGCATCCCAAAATAATATTTGTTAGACATATTTTCAGGTCAGAATTCCGTGAATCAAAACAACACTCAGAAGAGGTCAAGCAAGGATCTTGAAGGGCAGCGCTCCTGTTGTCCTCGCGCCACGCTTGTGAATCCTGTGTGGAACCAGTGTCCGCCTGGCGTCCTTCACGGCTGGTGATGATAGCCATGGCCGTGGTGTGGAACCTGCCTTGTCCGGATGTGTGTCCTGTTTGGCCGCGCCGTGTGAGCGCGTCTGTCTATCCTACTTGTCCGCGTTGTCAGCCCTTTGATCAGTGGATTGTCCGAGCCTTGTCCCGCTTTCCCTTTCTCTACCGCCTCGTCCGGGTATATTTTCGCGCGGCTATGCATGCAACAGTGATGCAGAGTTTGGAATTTGATCTACTGTAATAATTGAGTTTTTATCACTGTATATCCACTCGTTTTTTGCACATATGACCCGGAATCAACCATTACTTGTATTATTGTTCTCAATTATTTCTAACACATGATCATATGACATATGTTGTTTGCATGCCACTTCCAACAGCTGGAGCCTATGCTAGGACTATTTGCACTCAGGAATTGTCCACCAGTGAGTTGTGTCAGCTGTGGCTCTTGAGGCTTCTGACATTTGCTTTCACAACACTCTGCTTTCACAACAGCCTTCAACAAAAAGCGCGCTAGTCACGGCGACCCCAACTTCAATTTTTTTGCGTCGACCCTTGGAGTCGACCCTACTGTTGGTGGTAGCCATGGCAGAGTGGCTGAGTCTGCGTTGGATCGTGGTCGGCTTGGACATTCCAAGATCCCCTGGATACCGTGTGATCCTTGAGGCGCCGCTGGTGTTGATTCGACTTCACCTTTTGTTTGCTTTCTGACTTGCAGGAGAGTGATGAGCAAATGGAAAGACGTGTCATCCTTGCTGCCGTCGCAATTCACAAGAAGGCGTCGCCGCAAAGCGGGGAGACCGCCCCACTTCGCATCCTTCCGGACTCCGTCCGCCTTCGATCCAGGCAGCTGAGCAACGGGATGCTGCCTGGAGCTTCTGGGAGGCGTCGGTCGTCGCTTCTGGGCGTCGGTCGTCGCTCGTTTCCGGCCGCCCCGGCCAGGGTCTGCAAGAATCCTTTGCGTGCTGCTCCCACCCAACAACGGAGGCTGACATGGTTGTATAAGGCATGGCGCCAAGGAAAACACGCACACACACAGTTCATGTTGGAGTGTGAGTGAAGAGAGTACGCTGTCGGTGGAGGGGATGCTGGGACCCTTCAAATGTTCAATCTATTCATTGCGAACACGTTGCATGTATTGTCAACGTTTTGAATACCTCGAGCTCGTTCATTTTCAATGTGATTGCAGGAAGTGTAATGGAGGTAGGCTTGACACGGGATTTACAAACGTCTCTAGGGTTGGAGGACTGACCGAACCTTTTCGTTTCGGTGACCAGCAAACTATGCTGATTGCCTTCTTTGCATTGCTAGGCGGCAGCAAATGCCTACGGAATTGTGGCGGCCGAGCTCCAGTTGAACGCCAAGGCGAGTACTGAGCACTGCTGAGCTAATGCTTTTTCCGGATGATGGAAGAACAAGGGCTGGTTGCCATACATTCCTTCAATAGCAGGCGCTGGAAAGTGCATGGAAGTGCCGTTTCACCTGCTCCTTCTCCAATTATTTTTTTTGCTTTTTTGCCTGATTATTGCGCCGAATATTATACCTTTTCTAATCTTTTCTCTTCAAAGTGACCGCACGGAGTGCAGTTGAAGTAGGATCGAATTTACCAATTTCTCCATCAGCGTTGACTGCCAAAATATGTTGATACGCTGATAGAACTGCCATCCATGTGCAGCTAGGCTGCAGCAACTGCCTACGGAATTGTGGCAGCCGAGGAACCTCAAGGTCAAGGCAAGTGCTGAGCGTTGCAAAATTCACCATGTGGGCACCGGAACTATGAGAAATTAGCAATAGTAAGATACTTGAACATGGGTAAGCACCAATACACAGTATGTCAAGCACAACACCCACTTGTTTCTCAGCAGCATAGACAGGTGCATGGGTCTCGAATGTCGATAGCAACTTTGGCTCAAAGATCTCCTGGATCAAGATCCTGTCATCGCTTCCTGCATATGCAGCGCAATGGCATGTCGGTTTTCTTCTCGTCCTGGGA